TACGAATCGGAAATTGAAACACGTTAAAAAAATATTCTGCGATTTCTCAAACATATATGAGGGGATTTCAATATATTACATATACGAGGGGATTTCAATATACAACCAAAAAAATCAATGAATTGCAAATGCTACACGTTTCCATCTCTTTCTTCTTATATGTCCATACCACTTTAGTCTTTTTGTTCTATATGTGTTAGTATGTCTGTTTCTATTGATGTTATTTGCTTTTTTATTTTGCATGTCTGTTGCTACTATCTTACTGCTGTTTTTTTGTTTATAATCCAATTTTCAGCCCCATATGTCATAATACTTCGCACTAATGTTTTATAAATCTGTTTTTGTCTTCATATTTAGGTGTCTATCCCACCATACTGAGTTAAGTTGTCGGATTGCTGTGCTTGTTTGTCCTAATCTTTGCGTGATTTTAGGCACGTTAGACAAAATGACACATTATTCGCTTCCATGAAATGACGCAATACAGGGATGGCAAGAAAGCGCTTTACCCGAAGATTGAAATATTGGAATTATATGCCCTATATACAAAAAAGGAAAAGTTCTTGACTATTTCAACTTAGGAATACTGCATACAAAATTTTGTCAATGATACTTAACGAACGACAATATAGGTTGAATACATAAAAACAATCTCCTACACTTCCTTTAAATTCATGACAATTTCCTAACCGTTCGTTCATTCGCACTACATTCACTCAATTTCCTAACCTTCCCGTTAAAAACATTATTGTGTGACTATACAAAAAGGATTTAACAGGAACACACGCTTCACGCTAAGGTGCCCTTCATAGCGACTTTTTTGTAACACAAACAATACAGGCAACGGTTATGGTAAAATACATAAAAGAAAAGACAATGGGAAATACAACAACCATTGTCCTACCATTTCGGATTCACACAACAACACAGAACAGGGCAGTTTAGATTTTCCGTTTGGTACGTTTGAAAAATTCCCATAAAATTGATCTTATAGTTGAATTTCGACTACCTAAATACAGAATTGAAGCAACGTTCTGCGGCAGAATGATTTCTTGAGAGATGGCTTGAAATAAACATTTTATGGCTTCTTGATTATACCGACATTGAAACATCCAGTGGTTAAGATCGTCATAACTGCCATTACATTCACATATATCAGTTTCGGAAAGTTTTATTTTATATAAGTAAGCATTGACTGTAGCATGTCCAAAAAGGCATCTAACGTACATAGTATAAATTTTCTGAGAGATGGGACTTCTGTCACCTAGAGGAGTAGCTCAAAGAGTTGGATATATACTGCAGTATGTATTTTTGCTACTGTTAGTAAAGGATTGCCACTCAATTTTCCAATTATGTCTAACATATTTCTTTCTAGCTAAAACTATATCCCATTTGGGCAACTCGTTGTACTCTATACCCACTAAAGTAGCGTCTTTAGCCAAATGGTCTACTTTTTCATTACTCAAAATATTAGAGTGACCTTTAACCCACACAAAGTTAACAATTCTTTTTAGAGAAGTTAATATTCTTAGCTTTTCAAGCGCATCTACATGCGCTGACATACTGACAATATAATATGATCCTACCAAAAAGGCGTTTTTGAAAACAGATCCACCATTAATTACATATCATCCATAACAAAAATATTTAAAAAACGACAGAGTAGGTACCACATAGACTGCCATTACATCTTCATAGATTTTAGGCAGCGTACGATACTGCTAACACACCTCAATTATGTTCGGCTATGATTGTATGATGTATTTTACAAGTCCGTGCTGTTCTTTTGTTTTACAGGTAGGAGAATAATAATGATATGACTTAGTTTCTCTCTGGTGTTGACTATATAGAGCGAAAATATTATTATGTTTCTTCTGTCTGTTAATTTTGCGTCTTTGTGCGGTCAGATGTAGTAGATGTGTATTTTTGTTACTGGAACATATTTTGTGTGGTTTTATTATTGTTTTAGTGAGATGTCCTGTAGAACTTACAGGTACGCCACCTATATTTTTGAATCTTGAGATATTTATTCTGGCACAGACCCCGCAGCATTCGTTACTGGTAGTTGACATTTTTGTGGTCTTCTAATATAGTTTACTAGACCAAAAAGAGTTAAGCCTTTTTATGTCTTAATGTAAGACTGACTAATTCCCAGTAGCATTCGTTTATGATCTTTTGTTCATGATATGGTATAAGCGTAGGATAAGGACCTGCCGGCGCTTATTATGAATTTGTTTTGTATGTCGACTTTGAGACCACGTTCGTTAAACAGGTAGTTCTGGTACGACCGTTGAGTGACCCACTAAAAATTAAGAATCTTATATTATTTTGACTCTGTTGGAATTTTGCTGAAGAATGGTGAACTTTTCTTTGTGATTTATGACAATTATCATCTGTAAAATGATGAGAGCTATTTCTTAATGGTTCCTTCTTATTTCCTTTCCAAACTGTGTCTTTGACCTTATTAGCTGTCAGGAGAGGAACGGCTAGGGCGATGAGTTTTGGATTCGTCCACCACGTGACCTGTTGAGCTTCTAAGGAAGATAAGCATTAGTTTTCTTCTTTTGTATATATTTTATGATTAGGTGTTGTATTGACTACTGATTGTGACACTGGAGTTGCTACTGGTACACTGCAAAAATAATACATCCAAAGATATTAAAAAAAAGCGTGGCTAACCTGTTATTTTGACTTAGGCCCTCAACTAAGAGCAATACGCATGTCGGACCAACAAAGTGCAAACTTTATAAAACAATAATACACCCAGTGCTCACTTACGGATCACAGACATGAGCAATAACGACTCAAGATGAACAGTTACTACAAATCTTTGAATGAAAAGTATTGAGAACCATATAAGCAGAGTTAACGAATAGGGTCTGTGGAGAAGGCAATATAATTTTGAACTCCATAGAAATTTTTGCCATGCAGATATCATGAAAACCATCAAAATAAACTGCCTAAGATGGTTGGGCCACGTTATGTAGGTGGATGAAAGTAATCCTGCTAATACGCCAGTTAGAAGAAGTCAACCTAAACTCAGATATGTGGATGATGCAGGATTTAATGGAAACTGGAGTAATGAGATGGAGACGACAGACAGTTGACAGGGAAGGATGTTTTCAACTAGACCAAGGCTCATAAAGGGCTGTAGCGCCAACTGATGATGATGAAGTGACAACTTTTGTTTGAAAATAATAACAGTGTCCAATATCAAATCTTCAGAATTAATATCCGAAATTGGACAGTATAATTTTATCACCCAGTAGACCGAATGAATTTATGTGTTATTAAATACACACACGTAGTTAATTAGATTACATTAGATTTGGTCAATTATCAACAATAAAATTTGGAGATCAGTCGAAAGTGCTGATGAAAGTTAAACAATTTACACACAACTTAGATACACATGTCATTAGGTCCGCGAATATATTGACCCAATTAAAACTTATATAAAACTAAAATCTCATGCCTAGAGAAGCATTCAATCAATATTTACTCAACAAACGTGATAGTCTTCAACGCTCAACTGCAACAGTCTCTACTCAAAGTAATCCCGGGTCAACACCCATAGTGTACGTCTCGTCAATAAACTCTGCTACTATTATTTTGTGTGTGCATTACAACTGAACGAACATCTTCACTGAGCCAACGAAGGGGATTTGTTCAAACAGCAATTAAAAGTTGTCTATATAAGGATTTTTATTGGATGAAAACAACTTAATACAAAAATTGTTTTGCGATTTATTTTATTAAATTTAGTTTTTGAAGTTATAAAATCATTTTATACATTAATACTTATGTTCCTAGCAATATTTATTATATTTATTAAACATAAAAATATAAATTATTCTTGCAAATATTGTAACAAGAAAAATCAGACTCTTGATTGATGTTTCCTCTAATTTTTTTTTCATTTTTGTTATGTAAAACATTATAGTAGATACATACTACTGAAATTCCAAAAATTATTATTTACAAAAACAAAACAATCAAATATTTTATTAGATGTTATACAGTAAACTACAATAAAACTTAAAACAATAGTGAAAATAAAGACTTTCTACAATTATTAAAAATACCCTTCAATCCTAATAATGTTTGAAATGGTTTTGATATACCTAAATATTAGATAAAATCTTAAAAATAATATCGAACAAATTAGATAATGATAGTGCATTTACAACTACACTATGGAATTATTAACTGTAAATATAATGCTCATTTTCATAGAAACACATTTAATAAAAATAAATTGGTCTTGTACTAAGCATTTATTTTTACATTTAAAATCCACTGTATAGTGATATTAATATGCCCATTAGAAGGGTATAATATTTTATGTCATTAGAAGGATTTAATTCATCTAGAAGAATCTATACAATTTACAACCAAATGTTAAAAAGGTGATCATCAAATCAGTATATCAAAAGGTCACAATAAACTATTCTATCACAAATAGATTTTTGGATGAAAAAGCTTAGTTATATCCTGTTTTGGTAAATAACTATCATTTGTCATTTATATATCAGTAATAAAAAAGAGCATCAGAAAAATAGAAGACCTGAGAATTTTAAGATAAAACTTTATTTAGTTAAATCTTCTGTTAGACTTTAAAATAAATCTCATATACTTACAAAGACAAATGAAATAAGACAGAAACAACAGACATAAAAAAATATAAAAATTAAATAATTACCATAAAGAATTTAACAATTAACATAAACTGAACGCTAGTTTGGAAACATACTAGCCAGTAACTGTATCCTCTGAGTTTGTAAAAAGAAACAGGATATATGAATAATTTACTGCATACAATAATTTATAATTTTGGGTTCTATATACTCTAATAAAAACCTTTTATTAGAATCCCAATGTTTATTGGAAAATATCACAGCAACTTAATGTATTTAAATTGGTTGAAATTCTGCTAATAATTTTTGAAATACAATATTTGCAAGTTTTAACACAGGTAATAAAAATACTATTACTTTTAAACTTTAAGGTGAACCAACAGGTATAATAAAGGATATGTAATCAGCATATTCTCCCCAATTGAATCTATTCAACTGGAAGGTTATTACCCATGCAATGAGTATTAGAAACCAAACTGTAGATCCAATTGCTGAATAAATGACATCTACAAAATAAAAACCTTCGGTAAAATAAAGTAGAATCTATAGATTTTTACTTAATTAACAAAACAAATATTTTTGTGCATAGTGGCAAAAGTAATTGAATCAGTGAGTTCGAAAACCATACAAATCCAAAATTTGACATTTTAAAGTAAAATAGCCATTTTGTTTAAAATTTGTCCCTCACACGATTTGGCCTAAAAACTGTACTACAAACTTATCCGTTAAAGTAGCACAGCTGATTGTAGTCGTGCGTGAGGAGAAAAACCGTAAAGAAAAAGGAATGTTGCTAGTTGAACAAACAATGCAAGAAAAATAGCCCGTTTACAAGGTCAGTCATATGTTTCTAAAAACGGAAAACACATTAATGCAAAGACTGTAGGATCTGCGTGTAGGTAAGTAAAAAAGTTCTACACTGTGACTAGTAGTACATAGAATGTATGTGCATTATACATATATCGGTTGATAACTTTTAGCACGAATTCCATTTCATTTGAAAACAAAGTTTTATATATCAGTAGGTTATAGAGAGCATAGATGTACCCACTTATAATTCGCTTACATCCAATGTACTGCTAGTCACGAAGTAAGTTTTAACAATAAGTGTGGCTTGAATTTTAAAATAGCTGTTTTATTTTTTAGGTGTACAAAAAAATGCATGGAACAGTTTACTGAGGAAGAAAAAAAAAATTGTGTTTTAACTAAGCTATTCAGTCAGACGTCGAAGAATGAGCAAGACACATATTTACAAGGACTCATGGAAGCAAAACCAATCTAAAGATATCGCTTAAAAAATGGAACCAAGCAAGAAAGAAAATCAAACTTTTCATACTTTGTTTAAAAAGGCTCAAATAGAATTTCTGTATGCAAACAGGCATACTTTTGTCAGGTAAATCACCAAACGATCTTAGAGGCAGACATAATAATATACCACATGCATTATGCAATGAATCGACTGAGAAAATTAAGGAGCGCATTCAGATGTTTCAGGTCCAAGTTTCACATTATTCCTCTAAAACCATTCAGTATTTAAACGGATCTTTGAATGTAAAGAAATTGCATAGCCTTTTGTTGAGTTGGAAAACTTAGTTAAATATGAATTTTATTTAAAATACTTTAAAGAAAATTTCAATCTAAGTTTGGGAGACCATAGATTGATGTATGTTCGGAGTGTGAAAGACATGGAACGAAACTTAGAGATGTTAATCTTAACGATAACGCAAAGAGAATAGTTGCAGCGGAACTTATGGTTCACAAAAGGCGAGCGAAGAAGTTTTATAATAAAATTAAAGACAAGCAAACCTTGTGTACTGAAAGACCAGAAGTGATGAGATTAGCTTTTGATTATATGCAGAACATGCCACTGCCACACATTCCAGTCCAGGAAATCTTTTATTTTAGGCAGCTCTGGGTATTCGCATTCCAAATACATAACGTCAAAGATAATACTGGTCATTTTTATACCTACCATGAAGGTCAAGATTAGAAGGGACCTAATGAAGTATGCACATTCCTTAATGACTACATTTTGAAACATACCCCCTGAAAAACATCCTGAAATCAGTGAACTGCATTTGTCTTCCCATATATGTACAGGGCAGAACCAAAACCGAACAATGGTTCATTTCCTCCTAGCATTACAGGCAACCAAGAGATTCAACAAAATAAATATATCATTATTTTCCAATAAGAGGTCATTCGTTCTTGCCTTGTGACCGGGATTTTGGTTGTGCAAAACAGAATTTCAGAAAACATGATTGAATTTATACTCCAAAAGAATACAAGGACTTAATAACGACTTACAGAGTAAGGCAAACATTTACTGTGAAGCAAATCAGATACATTGATATTACTGATTTTAAGAAGTGGTGGCCTGATTACTATAAAAACATGTAGCTCTTGAAGTACTAGTTCCAACAAAGAAACATTTGCTGTGTCAAACTATAAGGAGTTCATGTATGACAGTTCAAAGCCGGGATATGTTAAAACGTGGGAGTATATATATGGTTTACACTTCCATACTTTTAAATTGCTCAAAGAACATAAGAATGTCCACCTTTGCCCACTAGTAAGGTATATAAAGAACCTGTTCCAATTAATGAAAAACAAATCCTGGACATCAAAAAGGTGATCATTTATACCCAAGGTGAAGCATTGGAATTCTATTACCACATGACATCATGGAAACTACAAGTTCTGAAAATAATGATTACGTGATTGAGATAACAGTTTTGATATTATGTATTGAATAAATGTTAAATAAATCAAGAAATGTTTGCCTATTTCTTTTCGTATATGAGTTCAAAAACCATACAAGTCCATCCTCCAAGTCCATCTTACTTTGGTAGTCCATTTTATTTTCTGAAAAAACTACTATTAAATACACATTGCAAAATAAGAGACCTAACACTTTTCTATGCATGCTGATAGTCTATGTTGAGTAGTTTCAGTTTCAGAATCAATAAGAACCTTCAAAAGGTTTTTATTGATTCTCCCGGAACACAGATTTTGGATAAGTATGGTTTTCAAACTCACTGATTCAATTGTGTAAGGTTTCTCATATCATGGGTATGCTGTGAAAAGTGACCAAGTCAGGTTTTTAACAATTCAACTTTGTTTCAATGGTTTATACTCAAAGTCTACCAGGCTATTTTAATTTAAAATAACACCAAACTTGATTCATGGACCTGTATATATTAGGTACACATTTAGATTTATTGAATCATATGTGATTTATGGGACAATGAAGTTGAATTATTATACACCTGACTTGAGCCACAGTATATCAAATATGTTACTTACAAAATACTTACATTTTTTAATATGTTTTTGTTCTTGGTATTCTGGTTTTTGGAAGGCTTCTCGAAAGAACCAAATTGCATTTACAAACCAAACAAAGGGTAAGAAAAAAAATCCAACTGGAAAAAGAAATTTTAAAGAAAACCTGTTTAAATATATTAATTTATTAACATACTTCGATAATATGATTTACATAAATATAATTTTTGATCATTAGGTACTTTGGCTAAATCCATTGTGTTTTGTGTTAATAAATGAGTTGTTTACAAATATCTTGGTTTTGGATCAGAAGTTCTGACAATCTGATAATGACCAATCCAATCCAATGACTAATTTAGTTGTTTTGGTTAAATTGGTATACTTCATCTAATTTACATACCGTTGCACGTCATTACTGCGTCAGAGATCGAAGTTGACATACACTTCATCTAATTTACATACCGATGCACGTCATCGGCGTCATAGCCCGTGAAGCATCGAGCAAAAAGATAAAAGAGGGAATGTAAAGGTAGTGGGGACAAAAATATTGTTAGACAGGAAGTGCTATCTTGAGGGGCCACTTTAAACAAGGAAAGACAGTCTCTTTCCTTGTTTAAAAAGTCAAATTTAGTTTGGTTATGTTATTGTTTGTCCCAACTGTCACATGAAATTTTATTTATATTGAAGTTTATTACCAATTGTGTCACTTTTTAGACTATTATCGTTAATATTTAATTAAAACTTTCTTGTCTGAAAAATATTTTACAGCTATTGTTAACAAGTGTTGGAAAATTTAAATTTAGCGCCTTTGCATTTCCGGATATGTCCGCCATCAGAGGCCACTTTTTTGGTCTCCTTTTCATAACGATTAGATTCCCTCTTTTATCTTTTTGCTCGATGCCGTGAAGTCACATGATACCAACACGAAATATTTAGGCGGTAGGTGTGTTCTTTTTTAGAATCACTTTGCCAAGTACACTGGCATTACAGTCACTAGACATATTTTATTGTATACGCATAAAAATAATAATTAAAGATTTCTATTAATGTTAACTTAAAGAAATACACAATAATGTTTCATTTATTTTGTATAAATTAATTATAAAGCGTTTTTATGAAGAACATTTGTTCGGAACACACTGTAACCGTAATCGAACGAAGGTGATATTTTGGCATACATTGGTAACACTTATTTGACAGTTGCGGTATTGACACTTTTTGTACTTTATTATTTTGAATTTTAAAGTGAATACCTCTTGTTTTATATTTTTACCTATTCAATAAAATCTGTTCTTTTTAGAACAAAATTGGTGTGTTTTATTTAAAAAATGTCACGTGACAATTTAAATAGTCGTTGTAAAGAAATGGTAATACTTTTGCAATATCTATTTGATATAAAATGGAGTCAGGATTTTTTTATACTTTGGCAACTATGTCAACTTCGATCTCTGACGTAGATAATAACGTGAATCGGTATGTAAATTAGATGAAGCATAGTTGTCAAAGTATAAAAAAATCCTGAATCCATTTTAAATCAAATAGGTCACATAATTATTGCAAAAGTATTGCCAACTCTTTACAACGACTATTTAAATTCTTATGTGACATTTTTGAAATAAAACACACTAATTTTGTTCTTAAAAGAACAGATTTTATTAAATAGGTCAAATATAAAACAAGAGGTATTCACTTTAAAATTCAAAATAATAAAGTACAAAAAATGTCAACACCGCAACTTTCAAATAAGTGTTACCAATTTATCCCAAAATTCCACCTTCGTTCGAATACAGTTACAGTGTGTTTCGAACAAATGTTCTTCATAAAAACGCTTTATAAAAATTAAATGAAACATATTATTGTGTATTTCTTTAAGTTAACATTAATAGAAATCTTTAAATATTATTTCTACGCGTATGTAATAAAATATGTCTAGTGGTGTAATGCCAGTGTACTTGGACTGCCAATGTACAGTGGATTTGGTTTAGAATCACAAAGTGATTCTAAAAATGTGTTGGTATCATCTGACGTCACGAGCTATGACGTCGATGACGGGCAATACTATGTAAATTAGATGAAGTATATAGGAGTTATTAAAATTAAAGATACTTATTGGCGATGTCAACGAACTATAGGGGGCGCTTTGACAGATGATCAGCTGATCACGCAAGTAGGATTAGTAGGAAAACAAAACAGTTATTACATACAAAAAATCAGAATAAAATTATTCAATTTGTAATTCCAACAAAACTAAATCAAAATATGAAAAAAAAAAACTTGATAAGTGCCTACTCGATTTATTTGTGCTTGATTACCAACCATTTTCAATAGTAGAGGACTAAGAGGACTCACGTTTACGAAAATTTATTATTGCATTGAATCCCTCATACCACTTTACCACCGACAAGGCATACGATTTCTAAAAGTTTGATTCCAGCAGAATACGAAAAAGTATTGGAAGAAAGTAAGAAAAATATCGGTAACATTATGAGTGTTTGTTTAACAACAGATCGCATAATGATAGTATAATGGCAATAACAGCTCATTATATTGATGAAACGTTTATTATGAAATCGTTACTTTTAAGCTGTCAAATTTTAGATACCAATCATACAGGGGTCAATTTGGCACGAAGACTGAAAAACGTTGTTAATACTTGGGGTTTAAACAATAAAATAATATTAACTGTGTCACACAATGCAAGTAACATAGTAAATGCAGTCACAGAACAATTAAATTGGAAACATTTAGGTTGTGTCGCTCATACATTAAACTTAAAGTTCAAAATTCATTAAAAATCTTTGAGTCATTGATTTCCAATGTAAAGACAATCGTCTCTCATTTTAAACGAAGCTCACTGAGTAGTTCTAAACTTATTCAGTATCAAATACAATCTGGTATTGAACAGCCAAAAAAATTAATACAAGATGTATCCACCAGATGGAATTCAACATATTTTATGTTAAACAGATTTGTTGAATTACAAAATTGTATTAGAGCAACTATAGGAATTGTCAATGAAAACTTGCCAATTTTAATGTCAGAAGAATGGCAAATAATCAAGGAGTTATGTGAAATTTTATGTCACTTTGAAGAAGCAACAACTTCAATGAGTGAGAATCATACATTTCTACCTCGGTGGTGATTATTTTAACTCGAGGATTACTTAATGTGTTTGGGAAGTTACAATTAGAAAACTATAATGTTCTTTTGAATAGTGTTTTGCAAAGTCTTCAAGAAGGTTTGAGGAATAGATTAGGAAATGTGGAATATAGTAACACATTAGCATTGTGCACCATTTTGGACCCACAATTTAAAACATTTGCTTTTAAGAACGCTGATGCAGTCGAAAAGGTAAAAAAATATTAATAAACTTAGTAACAGACTTGGTTACCTGTGATATTACAAGTAAACAGTAATCTGTAAAATCAAATGCAATTTCAAATAATCAAAGTAACCAGTTAAATTCACCTGCTCCATCTATTTGGGACTACCTAACTGAAAATTTATCTGGACAGTCAGACAGAGTATCTTCAAATGCCAGGTCGCAGCCATAATGGAAGTCCAAAGGTATTTGGAAGATAATGATAATCCACTTATTTGGTGGAAAGAAAAATGTTACAATTATCCATTTCTTTCAAAGTTATTTAGACAGAAGTGTTGTGCACTCGCAACAAGTGTACCATGCGAACGCTTATTTTCTAAAACATTAAATAACTTACTTACCTATTACTGTATATTTAGTACTTTTAGTTTCTTAAACTTTTTTTTGATTATACATTTTTAAAATTCTAATTATTGTTTACTTGTTTTACTATATACATATATATATATATATATATATATATATATATATATATTATATATATATATATATATATATATATATATATACATATTATATATAATTTAGTTACCTAAGGTACTCTAGCACTGTGAAAATATATTGCTGCGCTTCTAAATTTATAGTTGAATAGGTTGACATATTTCTCAAGCATTTTGTGTGAATATTTTGAAGATTAAAGGCTTATTACTTACCTACATATTTTCTATTGTACATCTATAGTATCTTTAAGGTGGATGAACTTACTGATGATGTAACCAAATAGCCTTATTAACTTACATACCTATTACTATATATTTAGTACTTTTAGTTTCTTTAAATTTTTTTTTTTTTGATTATAAGTTTTTAAAATTCTAATTATTGTTAACTACATGTTTCATTTTAATATATATTTAATATATTATAAAATAAAATATATGAGTATAGGGTTTTTATCGCGGTTCTCAAAGAATTAGTTTGTAAGTACTTTTTTAAATTATATTTGTTATAACTATTATGAAACAGACATATACAGTGTAGGAAAAATTTTATGGTCGGTATGGACCTTACGTGAGATGGAGTGAGAAACAGCTGTTTAGAAACAGAGAGGTATATTAGGTCCGCCCTTTATATCGCTAAACATGCATGCCTGGAAAGGGGAAGTTCAACGTTGCCAAACTTATTGGATTTATTTGACCTGTTGTTTTTTTTGCATTTGAACAATGTTCTAAGATAATCCAATTTGGGCGAAATTAATTTAAATGGCAGCTTACTGTTTTTTTATTGGGAATATGCCACAAGTTTACTTTACAATAAGTGTAATATAACATTTTGATTTCCACTTTGGAAATCGTTTTATACAAATAAAATTTATTAATGTTTCATATTTTAAGTACGATTTCCGAATTAAAAATCTAAACATCAAAATAAGCTTATTTTAAAGTCACATGGTGCCTTATTCCCAATATGAAATAATAAACTGCATACAATAACACCACATTAAAGAATATTCATACACAATAATTTATTTGGCAACGTCGTCCGTCTGGTCAGAACACCGAGTAACGGGTAATAGAGGTGGGTCGTGGTAATTTTATCGTTAAGAGCGTAGGCATAAAATTTCGGATTAATATTTTTTAAATGCATTCATTTTTTTCGAATCCTGATATAACTAATAAATATTCTTGAAAAATTTAAACGCAGAATGAACCAATACATTATTACCGAGGGCCAAAAGTCCCTGAAAACTTCTATAATGTTTATTTTAATAAGTTATAAGGGCGAAAAAAAAATTAGTGTGATTTTTAATTTCAAATATCTCATTCAAAAAACTTTTTGTTTATTCTAAGGGACTTTCGGCCCTCGGTAATAATGTAATCTTTTATTCTGCATTTAAATTTTTCAAAAATATTTGTTAGTTTTCTCAGGATTCCAAAA